TTCCCGCTTGGGACAGGCATACAGAAATTAAACCCCGCATCCTCAAATAATGTGCGAAGAAGGTTACAAACAAGGCTGTAAAAATTTTAATAATTGAATTGTGTAATTCCGGTGTTGATGGAGCGCCATGTTGAGGCAGGAATCCAGGCGGAAATGATCATCTGGCCTCGGGAAACATCACTCGATCGCATGTTCTGTACTACTCCACGCCATGTTGACGTCAAAGATACATGTAGTTCGGTCAGAAATCGAAATTTGGCCCGAACCGGGATCTGAGTAAACTCAAAAGGTCACTGAAAGTACATGTTGTATCTAGAAACATACATCTTGTGGTTTATCACTCGATTTTAATTCTCAGGTACCACTTTTGAAAACAGCGGGGCACTTGTATACGTACTTGGTATAATGCAAGTTGCCTTTGGGCTCTTGATCTTGCACATGTATCTTCCCGTGGTGTCTGAAGCCGGGTAGCCGGTAATTGCCCAGTCACAAAACCTCTTTATATTTTATGAATTAAATTACTGTTGGAGCACGAAAAGTAGTAAATTAATAGATGGCTTGATCGTGATCTATATCAACTCCCGGTTGGGCTTTTTGTGGTCTTTCGGTTCAGGATACACTTTAAAGAGCAGCAGGGTGGTGTCTGAATAGTATAGTATCATCTATATATAGTGTTGAAGTTTTCAAAATAGTATTGCTTTATATATTTGTATTTCGACAGGCTTATCAGAAACCAATTATAGTATACTCTTGAAGTAGTCTTGTTCGCCGTTGCCAGGGATAATTTTCACTTGTAAAGTTTGCTCTATAAATACGGTTACAGGCATATATAGATATATAGTATAAATGCAATCTTGCTCATTATGAGGTGCACTAACAAGCACCCGGTCAATATTGGTCAATTCCACTAAGAGGAACAAGTAGATAACGTGTTGGTCCCGAGATTGGAAGAGGTCAGCTAATCATACGTATACGTACGATTATCAAAAATATCTTTCCATAACTATTAAGGATGATCTCAGACAACCACAGTTAAGGTCTCGCACCCTTCTGTAGTATCTCGGCGATGATGATCTAAAAGTAATACATGTAGTCTTGACTACCCTAGACTAGGTGGCCAATGAACTTTATTTCGGATTCGGAAGTTCCTTTTCCTCGTCCCAGATATGTGTGCGCATAATTATGTATCCCAGGAAACCAGTGGACAAGCAGACTGAGTGCACCTGTGGTGAGATTGTACCTGTGCCGAGCATCTTATCCGATCTCTAAGGATCGACTCCAAGTGATGGCCAAAATGCTGCCTTTATTATAAGATTCTCGGCACAGGTACACACGGTCTATATCATTACCCATTAAACACCCCCCATAAGTCTCACCAAAATCTGGACGATACAAACTCAAAGCGACCAATTAGATATAGTAAGCAGTACGCACATCATTAAAACCTTTGCGGAGTACGTACCTGTGGGTCCTTCCGCATATAAACAACTATCGTTGAATCTCGATATCAGAATTCAACAAGTGTGAACCAATATAGTACATGGGGCGTAACAGAGAATTTAAAAAGTGAGTGATATTTCATGAGTATAACACTTACCGAAGGGTGTAGCCTCACATGGGCTCCATATACACATGGCATGTAGTAGCCAGTTAATTTTATCTTTTTCTAGTAACTATAAGTTCCTATCAGACGTGGGGGCTTAGCAGGTTTAATCTAATGTGGTGTGTCTTAGCGTGTGCTGGTTTCTGAAATATCAATTACGGATAGAGTAAAGTAGACTACTCGTCAGATTAGACACTATGTACTTGGTCTCCGGAAAGTAATTCAAATTAGGAGCGGGAATACCTCATGTAGTCTCTAGGGTGGTTGGGATACAACGCGGTGATCCAAATCCCTCAAGATAGAATATAGTTGATTATCCCTCTTTTGCTTAACCAATCGGTGATTTGACCTGGTCAGTGGACTGCTAGCTAGGATTCCATACGTTACACTTACGGCATGCACTGCACCCATAGACGGCGGTATCGATCGACGAATACGCATCTCGAGACGACGGGTAGAAGAAACCTCTTATCTCCTTCTACTACACTAGATATCTACTTATTTTCTCTTCTGGAAGCATTGCTGCTATCCAGGGATAGCGAGAGAACCTATGGTGTATGGGCAGGCGATATGTTAGATCGATTGGTAGCTTGAATCCAGTCCTTCATGTATTTTGACCCAGTTGGGGCCAAATAGGTGTATGAGGAATAGTTTGTTGCCTAGGAATTCAATGGGGACCATGTTCCGGTACTGTAGATGATCGGAGGGTATCATATAAGAAAAAGCGGTTGGCGCCGGTGCAACGGGAATTGAAGGGAAGTATGCTATTCCCTCTACTATTTCTTGGGATGGGTGTTCGAATGCTGGTTTGTTAATGAGGGGTAGAAACGTTAACTGGTGCTTCTCTTACAGCTTGTCGTGTGGTCTATGACCAAGGCTTGGCGTAGCGATGCCCGAGTGATATCTCATGAATGGTCGTCTCAGCCGACTACAAGGCTCTGAAATCCGCCAGCATGCAACGATACTCAAGCAATAATCACACGATAATGGCGATGATAACACCAGCAAAACGCATCAGCGACTGCAGAACAATTTCATTAAAACACAGAGCACTACCGCCCCTCTAAAGTATAGCTATATATTACTGAACCCAGCTAAGTAAGTCCACTAACAAAACAAAGAAAGTCCAATATATAAAAAAAGTTTTTAACTCCCAAACCCACAAACATAAAAAGTCTACCACCTCATTAGTAGCACCACGTAAAACCCCAGCACAACACAAGCCACCGCCGCAACCTCATCTCCAAAGTCCTTAAGATACCCCACAACCCCCTTTCTCTTCCTGCCCCCACCCCCAACACTGCTATTAATCGCGGGCTTAAGATACTTGTCCTCCTCGCCCCACACCCTCGGAGTCGGCGCTCTGCTCCCGTTCCTCGAGGCTGCCGACGACGAAGACACACCTACAGACCCCCACTCCCGCCTTTTCTCGCGCTCCCTCTCAACAGTTGGCAGCAGCGGCTCCTCACCGCTCGCAATTCCCCTGACCCTGCGCACCAACACCGCCACCGCAAGCAGCACCAGCGTCCCAAACAACATCTCCACATAGCACAAAAAGGTCCCAATCTGGTCCGGGAGCAGACACAACTTGCTCTTCAGCGTCGGCTCCTCCGCAGCGGAATCCAACGGCCCCCCCTCTGGGTTCCACAGGCTCACCAATAAGAAACCCGGTCTTCTGATGCCCATGGTCCAGGCAAAGCTCTTGACCGTGACCTCGTGCACGCGGCCCTGGTCGCCCGTATACATGTGGTCCACCTCGCAGTAGTCATGGTCGTCGCCGGAGAAGACGTATTTCGCCGATGTCTTTTGCAGTATGTCGGAGGACAGCTCGGGCGTGAGTACGTTCTGGTACTGGTACCCGCCGCGGATGCTGATGGGGTTTGAAGACTCGCGCTGCGGGCCGCAGGGCGTGTTGGGAGGGCGGTAGAGCGGGACGTGTGTTAGTAAGATTGTGGGGAGGTGGTTGTGGAGTGTCTCTGGGTCTGGCGCGTCATCGGCCGGCGACGACGGCGGCGCATCGGAGTCGCTGATGATGGTGTGCGGATATTTTGGCGCGGCCGTATCTGGCTTCGATAGCCGCACTGGGAGGTCATCGAGGAACTCTCGCTCTGGCTCAAATATCCTTGGGTTATTATCATTCGAGAGCGAGACCGAGTCCAGTAGCACAATCGAGTGATTTCCCGCCTCCACCACGCTGGACGTCTCCCCAAACCACGTTGTGAACCGGTCCTTCACCGGCTCCCGTATACCATTACCTATCCCCAGGTCATGATTCCCCGGCAGCGATTTGACTGTGCGGCGGTACGGATATCCCGGGAAGATGCGCGCGAAGCGGAGATACTCGCCCCACCAGTAGTCGTCCTTGTACAGCTTCCAGTCGGCCTCTGCATTAGGGTCCGGACGCACGGCAACGGGCCCGTCGGACGTGTGGATGTGCTGCTCCTGCGCGTACAGCGACGGTGGCGTGTGTGCCCATTCGCGGCCACCGTCAAACAGATCCCCGAGGAAGAGTGTCGTGGACGGGAGCAGGACCTCCTGCAATGTCGAGTAGCTCCGCCGCATATACTGGTCCGTGTAGTAGATTGTTGCCGCAAGGGAGAGGCCACGGCGAGGGTATGTGTGCGGGTCAATGATCTGCGGGTCGGCGATGAGTGCCATTCGATGCGGGGTGGCGCCAGCGGGCTGTGGACGGTTCATGTCAGCTACATAGCCTGGGAATTGAAGCCTGCAGGGTGAGTGGGTTGTACCCAATCTTCCCAGTTCTCCCACGCACACTCCCGGATGGCACTTTCAAAGACCGTGCGCTCGCCCCACCAGACGAGCAGCACCCACGAGAGCCTGACTGCGTTCCGGATGGAGAGGGCTTCGGCGGCTTTGCTTTTCCAGGATTGGCCCTTCCGTCGCTGGAATGGCTGCCAGGCCTTATGGCGGCGGAGCTGGGCCCATGCCTGATCGAGGAAGCTGGGGTCGCTATTGTACTTGCTGTGTGCGGGACGGTAAGGTGATGAAGAAGACATTGTGTTGATCAGAGTAGTTGTAGCTGTAGCTGCACTAGCTGAGTTCTCATTCTTCTCGACTGATGATGATTATGGTGATGGTGGGCAGTGTTGTTGTTAATGGTGGGATTGGATGTGTGAATGGTGTTGACGGTTGATGCCCGGAAGGAACCCTTACGCGGCCGGCCCGAGTAGCTAGCTAGCTTTGTAGTGAAAAGGGGGGGGGAAAGGCACGCACACGGAGTACCGAGTGAGTGGGGCCCAGGATGACGAGAAGAGGAGGAACAAGATCCCAAGAACAGTGAGAGAGAGAGAGAGAGAGAGAGAGAGAGAGAGAGAGTGCTTGTTCCCGCATGAGAAACCGGGCATTCCACCCCCAGATCACGCGCACTACGATTGCTATGTGCCACTGCATGGTAGCGAAGCTTTTATGGTATGTCTTTGCTGTGCACGCATGGGAATTGACGAGAACTGCCCTGTTTCTCTCGCTGCAGCGCGGGTTTCTCTCCACCCTCAGTGCCTCACTGCCGGATGTCTCAGAGATCGTGCTTCGAAATTGCGACACGCACGCCCCACGTGATCGCCGCCAAGACGGGAAACAGCCTCATGGATTGTCACTCGGGTCAATGACCGGGAGTGAGGGTTTGGTGCTGTGGGGTGGATGATTGCTGTGATGGTGCGGTTCTACTCGTGCTGCTAAAGTTAATACGAGTGGGGCTAGCTCGTATGGCTGTTCTTTATTCACTGGTGTTTTCTGAGTATTTGACCCCCCTACGAATACGTATTCACCACACGGTGCGCTGGCTTATCACCCCTAGTGATTCAAGATTGCTCCGCTGTTTTTTTTCACAAGATATAGATCTTACTGATTCTCCGTATTATCTTCACAAATACGCGGGGCCTAAGTATTAATGTTAGGTTTACAATGGGTGGCATATAGCTGGGGCTGTAGCTAACTAGGTGCCAATGATCGATCACACTACAAATGCAACGAGGGATATCAACGTACCTTTACTCTAATAATAACCAATTGCAGTACAAGAAGCACTCACTATAAATAAGAGGCCCATTAACCCCATTTTACGCCCTGTGGCTATAGCGAGACATAATTCCAAATCCAGCAATTCCGTTTCTTTGTTCCCAATACCCACGTCCCAGAAACCGTGAAGGCGTAGCCGGAACACCACAGCCCGCTCCCCACTTAAGCACTCCCAACTTCCATAAAACCTCCTAAACAAAAACCAAAACCCCAACAGAACCCCAACAAAACCCGCAATAGCCTCCGCACCCACAACCTCCATCGCACCCCCAAACCTCGATAGCGACTTCTACAACCCCCACCTCTCCGTCTCCCTCAACCCGCACACCCACCTCTTCACCTACAACTTCGGCAACCCCCCATGCCTCCGCAATCCGCCCCGCCCCCGCCGCGGCCTCGAGCCCGTCCCCATGGTGCCCAGGCGGCTCCTTGCCACCGACGATGCAGGGCTGAACCCGCTGCACCGGCGGCCGAGACTGTTTGTGCAGAGGATGGCGGCGGTGCAGTTGAGGGAGATGTATAATCCTTATTTGAAGTACCGGGAGGATACGCAGATGGCGGAGGTGGAGTGGGGGAGGTATAAGGCGTTGAGGGGGGAAGATGGAGGGGGCGGTGGAGGGGGAGGTGGGGAGGGCGGAGGTGGAGAGGTATATGCAGGTGTTGAAGGAGAGGGGGGGGAGGAGGAGGGAGGAGGAGAGGGAGGATGGTAGGAGGGTAAAGGCGCTTGTGGGCGCGGTGCGGGCTCGGGCTGAGAAGGGTGTGGGCGGTGGTGGGCAGGGTAGTAGTAGTGGGGTTAGTGGTAGTGGTATTGTTGATGATAATGGCCAGGCTGATTTTGACGATATATAGCTGAATGAGGTAGGACGAGAGTAGCGTCAGAATATGCTATGCATAGGATCTCTCTTTCGGCGTCAAATAGTTTGTATGTAGTAGCAACTCGTCTGCTCCTGAAAGTACGTATTCATCATGCAAGTAGATGAGCCTTTGTAACATAGAACAACAGGGCTCAGAGACTCCTCAAACAAAGAGTTCCAAATCTACTCCTCAATCAAGTGCTGACACTCAAGTCTGTGAGCCTTGGCTCTCATCTTAACACGAGGGGGTTATGGAAGAACTTGCTTGCAACTTTGTTTCCTTGGTGTTTAGAACCCACAAAAAATCTCGTTCCCAACTTCCCACACCTCGGGTGCGGGTTATGGGTTCTCTGCGCGCGGAGGTTGGTTGCGAGTGATAGCCCATGACTTGATCTCGGTCCCCATCACGGCCCATAAGGCCGCCAAACAGCGTTATAGGGATACAAAATAGTGCCGCTGTTTATTTTGGGTGACGGGTATGGTCTGGCTCGCTGGTTCATTCGGGGTTTCGTGGGTGGGCGTGATTAGCTGAGCGCACGCACTAGAAGTTAAATTCTACATGTACGTATTACAGGCCAAGGTTAGCATCGAATTCCTGAGCGGACCAAGACGGAGCCACACATGCCCGCTGCATCGGAGCTTTCTTTGACGACTGCTGCAACATGCATTGATTGTAGTGCACACGCAGAATTACACGGTGTTTTTTTCTTACCAACCCACCCACATCCAGGTAACGTTTGGCAAAGCAAGACGAGACAGGCAAGGTCTGGAGCTCTCGAGACCTCTTTGACTTTTCCTCCCTCCCCTGAGTGTTCTCAAAAAGGAAAATCGCAGCTGGCTCCGGTTCACTGTTTAGTCTGACATTTCAAAAACCGAAGGAAAACAAAACCAGGGCAAAAGTTTGAAGTAAGGCTCTACCCGGGATTCGAACCCGGCAACTCGCTGTCGTACTAAGTTTCTGTTCGAGTACACATTCCAATATGCCAATTGAGCTTGTTGGATTACTAGTTGGGGGAGATCTTAAAGATGGATTTGTATTTTACTTCCGCGCAGCAACAAAAAAGAAATCAAAACAACTCCCTCGATATCCTCCTAGTTCTCTTCTGCTTTCTATCTGATGTATCGCCCCACCCCATCCCGGTCACCACTTCCCTCTCTCTCTGCCCCGGCTCCTCCAAGTAGTCGGGTATTGGGCCTTGTTCCACTATTTTCCGGAGATGCTCCTGCTTAATAAGAAGGGCCTCTAGTCTTTCCATGCGCTCCAGTGTTGCGTACGCCAGCGGCTTGAGCTCTTGCTCAATCGTGTGCTCCAGGTCCTCGAGCTTGGTATAAATGTTCTTCACGGTTATGGAGATAGCGGTCTATGGGCACGATTCATTAGCCCACATAACAGAGAGTTTAAGCAAAACTCAGCCCAACAGCTAGTTCTGAACTAGGATGAAGCCCTTGAGGATATGTTAGAATAAACGAAACAGAGCAACATACACTGCGCTGCTCCCTCTCCTCATCGGACGAATTTGTCTCAGAGGCCGAGTCACTCTCCTCATCATCATCTTCCTCGTCCGCCTCCCCATTCGCCGCATCCGCATCCGCATCCCAAATATTCTCCAGGTTCCACTTCTTCTTCACCACTGGCGCTGTACCGTCCTTCGTAAACGGGGTCGACGAGACCTTGCGTGCTGCGCGCAGAGCGGCCGCTTGTGCTACTATTGCTTTGGGCGCATTGGTGGCCATGGTTTACGTGTTATTTTCAAGGGAAAAACTAGCTTGCCGGTGTTGTAACACTTCTACATACTACATGGCGGGTCCGAGAGGTTTTATTGCGCACGGAGAACAAGGGAGCTATGTAGCTTTCGGGGGTGTGGTAAAGTGAGCATCCTTTGTTTACCCTCGTAGTATGAGCGACAATGAATTGTTGACCAGTGGCGTTTCTCTGCTAGATTCGATTACTGCTAACTAGATGTAGGATCTTCTCCCCTCTTTGTCTTTGTTCCGCACCTTCATTGTCCCCCGCGCCTAAAAACCAGCACTACAATCATTACCCCCGAAAAAAACCTAACCATAAAAGTCTAGTCCCCCGCCTCGTGACAGTTTACACAGTGGGGCCCGTAGCCCCAATAACGGTGTGGCAGCAAATTAGGACATTTAGGGCTGAATGACGTAGCTACCTTCGCGCAAAACTTTAATTCAACGACTCTCACCAGCCGCACACGCCACATGCACAGATCTCACTTACATACCCAAGTGGGGCAAGGGCGCGCGCCAAGGCGCAAAAAACTGAAAGTTGAGGTCAATGATTGCGGAGACAGGAATTAATTAAATGTTTTAATTCCCGCGCGAGGTATCTTATCTGGCGATGGGCGCGACTGAGACCTTCGTAGTAGTCAGGATGGAGATTGGGGGGTCGATGACGCTGCGATGGAATGGGGGCACATGCGCTGTCTGGATCGACGGACGATGGCTATGATAGAAGACCAGCTGCAATCTTCACCCAGGTTCTCGTCGCTCTGCGCTTCGGGTGCTGAAAATTCTGTCCGGGAGGTGGTGGACAGACTCTGCTCCTGCACTGAAGCACGTAGAGTACATACAGCGAACGGGGGGTCGCGTCGACTTGGCTATCACATAGCTCCTCGTGCTTGATTCCCGTCCAATCAATCGACTATATATCTACTATGTAGGTACTCTACGAGTCAGACCGTTGGCGCAGAGGGCCGTATCGTATGCGGTTCTAATGACATTATGCAAAGTCCCGGTATTCGAGAAGCAGGCACCCATGGATGGTGGTTATAAATAGTTATCGCAACGTCCGATGATTGAGATTTTCTCTGTCGATGATGTTTGACTTTTTTCTCGGTTATTTTTTCAGAAGCTATCGAGTGCCAGGTACCCACCTAGATATGTAGAGAGAAATTGTGTGACCACTCCTGGCTGCAATACGCATGCCTTATGTTCTCTTCCGATTTGCTATATATATAGTACGTAGAAGAAGAAAATCGTAGCCGCGATCACAAACACTTTAGGTTATTGACCAGAGTGAACTTCAACATAGTGAGAATTTGTGACAGAGAATTTGTCGTAACAAAGGGAAAAAGTGAGATTAAAGAAGAAAAGAAAAAAGACATGAAATGTAGACCCCCGAGAAACCTCCCTTAAAAAAATCAAATATTCCCTCACCATACCTATACAAAGCCATTTGACCCGCCCATGAATCGCAAAAAAAGAACACCTTAAAGCCCCATAAATATTTGGTATCAAGCCCCAGTCATTAAGAAAAAGAGAAAGTGAGAAAACCAAGCAAAAAAAAAGAAGCAGAAAAGTTCCTAAAGGTTATTTATCGCTCCTGTTCAACATGAGTACCGTTTCCCCCATACTGTCCAACATCTGGCATTTCAAGCGTTCCACTGCCATCGATAGGCGGATGTCCATAAATTCTGTTTTCGTGTCCCTCGTCACCAGTACCCAGCTCCGAAAGTTGCGGTAAATGCGGTGCCTCAGAGGGCTGTTGTTGTGGTTCTTCGTATTTCTCAAACTGCGGTCCACCATTCATTTCAACATCCGTACCAGAAGGGAGAACAGCAGCGCCGTCCGGGGCACCAGTTGGATCAGTTATACCTGTTTCATTGCCGTCTGTTCCCGGGTCGGTTTTCCTGTGCTTGATCAAGGCGTTCACAACCATTCCGAGCGTTCCTAACCATGCAAGCCTACATGGGAGATTTATTAGCGAAACCACCCAGAGGCGACGTAGGGGCATTGATGTACCATGCAAAAGCTCCGAAAGTTGCTGCCGCTTTCGAAGCACCGATCGGGCACCTGAAGTTGGGGTCGCAGCGAAAGGTGGGGATATCTGCGGCCAAAGCAATAAATCCCGCGAACCTAGACACACAATGTTAACCAGGCAATCTTCCTAGCGATGTCTCAGATATTTCGTACCAGAAGACCATAGTAATGGCTTCGACTCCAAGAACACCCCAGCGGTTGTGGAAGTTCGGGAAGAACATTGGAGTAGCAACGAGATATCCCAAGGCGACAAACGACCAAATTGACTATCGCATAGTTTTCCGTAATTAGTTTTCTCTTATGTAAGGAGCCAAAAATTTAAAAAAAATAAAAAGCTTAAATCGTCCGTTCCTCGCGTGCGGAGGAGGCTCTTCGCACGGACTTTGCACGGACTACCGAAGCGAGGGGGTGGATGAAAGACGGGAGTGCGCATACGTTGAACAACAAGAAATTGGCTGAGTCAATCGTGTTAAAAGGACTGAAGACATCAATGACGTAGGCAGATATGCCCAACACGATGATGGCCAGCAGGGCCTGAATGATCCTGAGTGTGAGAATTACGTTGAACTCCATGGTTGAGATCTTTCGGAGAGATTGCTCCTAAAGTTTGAGGTGAGATTAGGGCCTAATTCTAGAGCCTGATTATTCTTCGTGTTCGCTCCTTGTAAGCGCAGATATTAAAGATGAGAAGGGCTGTAAGTAAGGTAACTGAATTCCGTGTCTGAATGAAAAGAGACTGGAATCGAGAGAGGTGATAGAGAATATGAGAGGAGGAGAAGAGGGTGGGGAAAGGTGGAAAAAAGAAGTACAAAAAGAAGGATGTAGCACAAGTTATACTATGTAGCTTCTTGCTCTTAGTCTATGCCTTGCCTTGCTTTCGACTTGAACAACAGGAATGATTGCCGCTAAGATGTAAGGACCCACCCTAGAATCAGTAGAGTTTAGTAGGAACTGTCGATAGAAATACAACTAATAAATTGCTTCTCTCCGAGGGTCAGCAGATCACCACCACACCCGTTCTCGCAGCAAGGAAATAAAAGGCGAAAATCAAACTAACTGATAGTATGTAATCTCTTTAGTCTATCGCGACACACGGTAAAGCGGTTCTTACTTGGTAGGACGTATGTGAATATGGACACGGGCACTGCAGCAGCACTACCTATGATTTATGATCGGGTGAGATATAGGTTGTCGTCACACTCGTCGCAATCGTTGCGGGGCGCAAGAAGAATGATTGTGGCTTGGCAGTCTTTGTATGCCTGAAGGCGACGCGTTCTTCAGAACTACAGAGTGTGGTATGGAAGAAGAGTCGTACTTAGAAGGCTGAGGGCCGATGGACAGTGATGAAAATGAAGACGAAGAGAAGATGGACGACGCTGTTCAAAAGCGCCTTGCGCGCAGGTACTTAATTTGTCTAAATTCCATTGTTTTATCTACCTATCACAGGTTTTGTGACAAGGAAGCCCTGGACTTCTGGCGAATGGATAGCTGCCATGCTTCTGCTGACGTATGTGCAGGGAGGGCACCATTGACGACACTCCTTGTGGCGAGCTTTGAAGGTTATTTGTTACACCAACCTCAAAGTGTATTTTCTAGGGGTTAGGTATTGGACTCAGACGACAGGGTAGTTGCTGCAGGAGATTTGAAACGTTCAACACCATCTACCTATCAGGCTTGACTCTTCTGGACCTGAGCCTGGACATTTAACTCCTCAGAAGATCTCCAGCGCCTCTGTGGGTTGTCTTCAAATGCCAAGCCGTCAATACACGTGTATTTACTGTGCCTGAACCACAACCTGGTAATCTTCTACCAAACCATTGAGTGGGGAGCGTTGCGGCTGAAAACTCTACCACTCTAAATAGACGTTTGATTATCGTGACATATCCATGCTGGAGACTGTTCCTGCATCCAAAACAAACTCAAAACCAGATATTTGTGGATTAACGTCTGTCCCTGTACTCCGCGGGCGCGTGTGATTTTGTGCTGGAGCCACACCATCGAAGATGTGTGATCATAGAATATCACTCGACATTATCAGGAAGGTATCCATTGAAGAATATAGATGTACTGATTTCGCCTAATAGATGTCCTAGTATTCATCTTATAGAGAGATAAGTCTAGGGAGGTCGGGAGCGTTCCACTTTTATGAAATGAATAAGTATAGTGAACCTAGCTCGTTCCATCTCATGAGCTAGGGTAGACTGTCAGCCTAAGTTCCGGGTGGGTTTTGTGGGGTGATGGTACATGCGTGCATAGAGTTATAATTAATTTCTGTTTCATGTCCGCAGAATAATATGGTACCAAGAAGGTTGCCTCCCCATATTTCAGGTCTTTGAGTGCGAGGGTACAGGTTCCTGTCATACACGCCATCATCCCTTGACTTTGCTACTTTGACAGTTTTTATCATATATATCTTCATGTTGTCATGCCGAATTATCATTAGCCTCACTCCGAAATTAAAGTTATCGGCACGCGTGTGTTCTGTTCCGGACAAGAATTTTGCGTAGAGATGAGAGAGTGAGGACAATAATACATGAAGGGAAAATGGACTATCGATGCGCACTAGCCGAAAATCGCAGCATGGTGTGGATCCCCAGAAATTACATAAAGACGGTGGATTTCTCCCGTTCCACTCTCCCCTAGGCCCTTCATCCATCATCAACACCACCTACGTCACTAACATGAGCATCATTAACATAATCACGACAGAAGTGACGTCAATTCTATGGATCCTCTTCTCTACCACAGAAATAGGCACAAAAGAGCTTTCGCTGACCATTATCCATCGCATACTAAGTCGAAAGTCATCACTACGGCCGTTTACAAATCAAGGAGCTAACTTCCCTCATAATTAGTTACGATAGAATCCATTCTAGGCAGAATAACACTCTAGCCTACTTACAGACAAAAATCTGAATTCTCTTACGAACTAAATCAGAGCTGTTTAGCCAAAGTTAAGCTCGGCTCAAAACAACCATAGACCGGATCGGATTATTAATCTCAGGACGAATTTCTCTGCGGCCTGGATAGCTTGTGACCATGGACAATTGAGATTGCCTGGAAAATCGGGGGGAACCAGAGAACTTCAATCCATCCAAGCGAATCTGCCAGTCCAGGCTAAGATAATACACTCCCAGTACATACTAGGTATGGGGGAATATTTGGTCTCGCTTGGCTTGCCTGGGGTCGAGCCTCGATAAGTCACAAAGTACCGGCCGATACGGGGTTCGACAACCAGGACTGCTGTGTCTTAATGAGGTAAATTCCATGAATCTCATTGATAAAGGACTCTCAAGAAAGAAATAAGAATCAATTATCCGGTGGAATGGAACCAGTTTGCCTCGGGTATCACATGGGCTTGATGAGCCACACTGATGAATCATGCTACAGGATAGGCAAGACGCTGCTGGTTTTTAATTAAGCGTTAAGTGGTCTTGATCTAAGCGTTTTGATGGGTCGGACCGGAGATTTATTTATTTATCATTGATCTACCTAGCCTGGCCCGGTCCGCAAATATTACGGGCCATATAATTAATAAATTTAACAGTCCATGGAAACAAATGAATGAGCCACAGCTATTCAATAAGCTTTGTTTCAAAACATTAATGTCACAATCTCAAAAGGAAAAAGAAGCATATTCTATTTGATAGCTTCACCGTTTCTTGAGATACCTGGCAGGTCTCGTTTTGTTATTCATAATTAGACAATTATCCTCTCGCAATACCGGTCTAAAATTCCATTCGACCCGGCCGGCCCGGGAAACAATTCAAAGTCGGCCCGGCCAATATATTTTTAGACAGGTACATCCAGCCTTATAAACCTCGGGTCATTAAGGAGCCTGCTTTAATTAGTCTCGGAAATTGGATTAGCTATTACCAATGAGCGATGAGATGAAAGATCCAGATTGGTATATATATATTTTTGAGACTGCAAGAGATACCTCAGAACATGGAATCAAACTATCAATATTTCATATTTTAGATGTCGTATGAGGACAGAGCCTAATATCCTAATATTTTAGCCGGACTGTGTTATGCGCCAAATGGCACCCCGAGCTAGTACGTCTAAATATTTGTCCGGTCAGAGCCTTAGGCAGAAGACCCTTTTATCGTCCGCCATTCTGAGATATACTCACCCAATGGCAGGCAAAGAATGATCATTTCTGAGACAGTAATATGATCTCTTTTGTGGGCTATATCCTTGAAAATCGGAGAAAAGCACAGCAGGATTTAACTAGAAAGTACAACCACTCCTGCCTGCCCTATGTTTGGCACGCGAAAAGTTGAACACGCCCCCAAATGCGCCACAATCCTTTATTAAGTCGGACCCTGTATCTGTGGAATCTCTCGTAGTACGTGAAGGAAGCTACTATTCTAGAGATCTTAATAGTGGTATTAGTTTTTTGTTAATCTAGCTCATGCAAGGACAACGAAGACTGGGTCAGATTACCAACAAAACGGATCTCGTTATTTACTTTATAGGAATACGGCAACACCATAGTAAAAAGGACTTTACCCCCCGACTTGGACGTAACGGCCGTCTTTTTCTCGGATGGCAATACCGAGGTGTTAAGACTAGCAAATATTCAATCCCACTTGGTTACTAAATAATAAAATTATCACGAAGTAACTAATCATTCCGAAGGGCTAAATGACCCATGGTCATATGGCGATAGTGTAATCGCTTTCAATCACTCATCTCTTCTAGGACCATTTCTACCCAACAGAGATTGAAGCCTGCCTTGTGCTTCTCTAAGTGGGCTGCAAAAGCTCCTCTATAGCTAACCGTATCGATTTATCCCATTGTACTCATGGTCTTGGTTAGGGACACGACTTTGAGGTGATATTTTGAGGTATTAACTCCATGCATACAGAGAGGGGAAGTGCTATATTACCTGGAAGCGCGCATGGGTTTCAATGCGAGGCACAATGTACCCCAGCCTTGAAAGACACGCTATTAATGCTGACGCACTTATCCTAATGCTACAGTGTTGTCTACTCTATGAGGCACTTTTATGGTGAGGTGGGTACGTCAATTGGATCTCTGCCTCGCAACGTTGTGTGATTTAGATCTGGCCTGTTAATATTTATTCCTCGGATGTGACTAACGACACAATTAAAATTGTGATGTCACCGAAGATTCAGAAAGAGCATGTAAAAGAAAGGACCAGAGATAATCATTTATTTTTAAAGAAGATTCAAACGCCCCGAGGCGAGTCGTGAGGCGAGCGGCCTGACCCCGTGAGCACTACCGTTCGAGTGATGAACCATGACCGATGCTATGCCAAGATACAAATATATGCATAAAGTTCTTGGCGAGAGCTATTTATCGAACCAGTGTAGTTAGATTAATACGAACTCGCGAACGAATACGGAAACACGATTTGTAACACCGACGGCCCAGGGGAGATTGCAAGAGTTTGTCGACACCGAACTGTCTATTTAGTACATGTACATGTAGTTTACAAAGACATAGATATGGGCAAGTGTCGAAATTTTCTCAGTATGTGTGATGATACTGTTTACATGTACAAGTACATGTAGTTAAAGGTAGATCGACCTGACATCTTTTAGAAGTGGCCGTTGCGTTAGTTAACATATTACGGGCAACTACATCTACCACTTGAGCTCATGTAGTAGGTACAACTGTAGATTTAGAGGATTAAGTGTAAACTATCCATAATAGAGCGTGACTGTATGTAATGGGTATAAGTACAGTCTCGGAAATGAGGGTAAAATTGCTACCGTGGGGCTACGGTATTGAGCCAAGAATACTGGTTTAAACCAGTATCGTAAGTAGAATACCATATCGATACCGTATCAATACCTTATTCGTACAGCATCACTAGCGTATTGACTAGAACACGGTAGTGAATTTCTACCCCTTTCCGGTACTGTATATGTATGTATGTAAGAATCAGCTTAACTCTACTTAAATCCGAACAGTCTAGAGCACAGCTAAACACATGCACATGTACATGTAAGACTGTGTATATAGCAGCGGAGAGGGTTAATAGAATACATGTATCACTATTACTTTTGCTTATAAACCGTTCACACATACGGACATTTTCGATAAAGAACGTTTTATCAGAAGAAGGAGATTTTAAAGGCCAGGTCCAAACTTCATGTTATGTTTGAGACAAATACATAAGTATAGCAGACAAGGATTATAAACGAAGTACATCGTAGAGGACCATGTCGGTAATCATATTCATGGATTGCAAGGGATATGATCCAAGATCCCGGAAGCCGGTAAGAATGCACTTTACCTCAACGTTCAAATTGGATGAATGCCCTAGCCTCGTGAGTTATGTGCGCGTTGGTGAAGATATTCCATACCTGAAAGTTGGATAAGCGCTAAGCGCGATCTGCGCTTGAGTACAATTCCATACATATATCTGATCCGGAGCTAATGCCTGTGCGGGCGATGCCAAGAAAAGGCACATACCAAGCAATCTCGCCAACAAGCTCGGATGTTTGTTTTGTTGACTGAGACCTCATTTGCCGGCGCGAAATTCATCATCATCCGTTGGCAGCAAAGCTTTCTCGCGGGCCTTGGCATTCCGATGCGGCTCACTCGGCATCAAGATTCCAGTTTGGCAGAAAGGGGCAGATCAAGTGGGAGCCTGCATTAATCGCATTGATCCTAGATCTACAAAGGAAAATTTCAGTCCTCGGATGGATACTATTGAGGCAGTTGCAATTGGCCAAATCACAGTCCGCAAAGTGAACTCACAAAAACTACAGCAATCCCCACAATTCGGATCCTGGCAACCCCTCCCCCCAATTTACAGGCTTCGATACACGAATACGTGGTATATTCAGGTGTGTTCAGTTTACCTCACAAAGTACCCAGCTAGTGGCACAGTGTCTACCCTACCCATTGCGCTCCTTTCCGCTTGACCGCCCGCTCCCCTTTCCATATACTCCTCCGACAGGCAATTTCGTTTAACATCTATTTAAACTTTCCTAGAGCCCCCCAACGTTTGCTCTTCACAATGGTCTCTGTGACGCGATCTCAGACGGGTAAAACACCAAAGTAAGCAATTGCTATATCTCAACCGCAATATTCATAATTCTCGCTTTTCTCCCCAACTGCCACGTTTCCTGAGCTCACAGAGATTTTTTTTTTTTTTTTTTTTAGAAAACCAGCGCACCCGGGGTTTGTAGAAACGCCACCTGTTCGAATATCTCGACGATCTAGATCTGTAGTGCGAACACCAAGCCCTGAAGCTTCGGTGAAAATAGAACCTACCGAGGAAAAGATGGTTGAATCTGGTCTTAAAGAGCGGAAGTCAGCAGCTACCAATGGTAACACTAAGGTAACCAATGGTAAGCCAAAAAACACGGATCACAGGGTCGATAACAGCGGTGAATTCGAGTTCGGGGGCTCACTTGGAACTGGATTTGTGATGGTCTTTTTCCCTATACTCATGTGGTATCTGTGGGTTGGCCAAGTATACTATGATGCTCAATTGCCGCTGCCCAAGAGCGGCCAGCCAATTTCAGAGTTTTTGGAAAGTCTCTACAGCATGGCTCGCGAGGTAACTTATCCTGTTCATTCTGCGCCGAGTGCGTATTTACTAATTGAATCCTACTGCAGAGCGCAATGCCCACTCTCAAAACTTGGACAATCTACTGGGGCTTCCTTGCGTACCAAAGTGTTCTCTATATCACTCTTCCCGGTGTATGGACCAAGGGGAATCCAATCGCTCATCGTAACAATCTCCGCTTGGATTACTACTGCAACGCTGTATGGTCGTTCTACACAACTCTGGCCACGATGGCTATACTGCACGTGACCGGCATTTTCCCGATCACCACTCTAATTGATGAATTCGGATCTCTTATGAGCGTTGCGATCTTTTCAGGGATTGGCGTTAGCTTTATCGCCTACTTCAGCGCTGTTGCTAGGGGAGCTCAGTACAAATTGACTGGTAGCTTTGTTTACGACTTCTTCATGGGCGCTGAGCTGAATCCCCGTATCTTTGGCATAATGGATTTGAAGATGTTCTTCGAAGTCCGTTTGCCTTGGTTTATTCTATTCCTCACTACCTCCGCTGCGGCCGTTAAGCAGTATGAGACTTACGGGTACCTTACGCCTCAGCTTGGCTTCTTTGTTTTGGCGCATTGGTTGTATGCCAACGCATGCTGCAAGGGCGAAGAGCTTATTGTCACAACCTTCGATATGTCTCATGAGAAGTGGGGTTATATGCTTATCTTCTGGAACATGGCCGGTGTACCGATGACATACTGCCATGGTGTTATCTATCTTAGCCGCCATGCCCCAGAGGTGTACCAATGGTCGTTGGGTGTCAATATCTTCGTTTTCACTCTGCTTCTGACCGCATACTACATATTTGATACCTGCAACAGGTGAGTGCCTCTATTGGTTCGAGAGGTCACATATCATTTCCTAATATCCGCTTTAGTCAGAAGAATCGATTCAGACAGATGGAGAAGGGCACTCTTGTTGTCCGCAAATCTTTTCCCCAATTGCCATGGCAGACTCTCAAAAACCCGACTTACATCAAGTGTAAGAACGGCGGAACTCTTCTTACTAGTGGATGGTACGGATTGGCCCGTAAAGTTCATTACACTGCCGACTTTTGCCAAATGTCATCGTGGGGCCTTATCTGCGGTTTCAACAGCCCTATCCCATGGTTCCTGCCATGCTTCTTCATTACTATGATTCTCCACCGTGCCTGGAGGGACACTGAAAGGTGCGCTAAGAAGTATGGTGAAGACTGGGAGGAGTACAAGCGACAGGTTCCATACTTGTTTATTCCTGTAAGTTTATTTAATTCCTTTGCGGCGTTCGGATTGTAGTTTACTAATCGAGGTCATAGTACGTCTTTTAAATTTCAACTACCTAAATAGGTTTACGGAGTCTGTTAGGATATATTTTGATTGAGCATGGCTGGGGTTGGATTTTCTTGGATCTTTATGTGGTCGATATCCAGGGTATGATTTAATGAGCGGGTAATTGGGAGCTTCTACAAGTGTTTAAGTACTTTACCTTCGAGTAATTCAACTACATAATCTCTGTTTCTGTTTGCTTTGAATTCTTGGTTTCTATACCTAGTCCGTTAGAAGTCACTGAGTTGGAATACATATCTTCGGTTTGCCGGAAAATGTACATTCCTGTAAATACATACAAAAATATCATGTAGTCATTTGATGCTTTTTCAGCTTGGCGGCACTTTAAAGAAATAAATATGGCAGAAAGAAACGATTAGATTCTAACTACACTATTATGATGCTTGCTGGTTCGGTTCTTAGTATTGATTTGCCCACTAGCCAGCCGCGTTTTAAACGAATAGAGAGCGTGGAGTATGTGTTGAGTTCTAACAGGTGCCTTTGATTAAACATGCAGGATTAATAACCAGCTGCAGTTAAACTACATACAATATTAGCTTAGCTTGGACTATGGGTATTTACATAATCCAATCCCCAATCTTCCCCTCCAACCATACAGTCATCCAGTGAGACATGAATGGTTGCGCTGAGAGATATATTCAATAATTGTAGGTACAATGCAGCTCAAAGGCCTGATATATACAATTGCCCCCCCCTCAAAAAAAAAGAAAAAAAAATAGTCTATATAACGTGCTTCTCTCCATGGTACGGCGAAAAGATTCCTCTGGCACCCTCGTTCATAGACTTCACGGGCTTGCTGAACTTCTTGAGTTTCTGGCCAGAGGAGTTGCGTAGCAGTTCGGCTTTCTGAAGAATTTGTAGATGGTCGAGTTTTCGCACGCAGATAACCTTCTCTCGGCCATTGACTATAGATAAAACAGGAATTGTTAGAGGAAGTTAGAGCTGATATTGATGGGAGGTGTTCAATGATAAAGAAGCGGCGGGGAGTGGTAAACATACTGTAGCTGCCTCTTATTATGGGGTGCTGGTTGGGTCTAGGTGACACGGTAATCTCAATTTGGGGGTTTGCTTTTGCGAAGTCTGCAAGCTTGTGAGCTATAAATGACCTTATGGGGATTAAATCGGTCGTTAGTAAGTGGTGAGGTGAACTTGGACGCAGGTGGAGAAATCTTACTTCATGCCTCTCGAAGCCCCCGCCCAATCGCAGTAATGGAAGTCCAGGCGCTTGCACTGGAGTACGAATGCGCCGACACCATTCTGCGCCTTCGACACAGCGCGGAGAGCAGTTACAGGCATGCTTGTTTGTCGGTCTCGTTGATGGTGGGTTGTTTCACGGGACGTTGATAGTGGTTGGTAAAGTGGCGGCGGCTCGTTCTGGGTATCGCTGCGGTACAGCGGAAATTTCAGAAGGGTCGCGTCTGCCAAGACACTGAACTGAGCGACCGACGCGACTTCCCTTTGAAATGTCCCAAGGCATCGCTCCGTCCTTTCTCCCCTCCATTCCTTTCACTCACAACGTCCCTTTTTCAATCACCATATAGCCCCCTATTTTGGTTTTCTCCACAGCTTCATCAACACAGGAAAGGGAGTTTAAGCAGGCAGAAATCACGACACAATCAGCCATGGGAGACGCAGCTGAGGTCAACATTGACAAGCAGCTCTTTCACGCACGCCTGGGCAACCTTGTAGCGGCGTGGAAGGATCCCAAGAAGAATGATGTCTTTGGTGGCGTCAGCTCGATAGTTGTGATCTTAGGGAAGACGGAAGAGGGCCCATACTCAAAGAGTCTTTCTCTGCATGTATGATTCCTTTGATACTTTTGGCAGCCTTTACGTTCCGAACCCGACCGGGTGTGTTGTGTGATGAAAACAAAGCTGACGTAGTTTGCAGTTCTGGCTTCTTGGATACGAGTTCCCTACAACTTTGTTCTTACTCACACAGGAAAAGTTCTACATCGTCACAACTCCAAAGAAAGGTATGCCGCTCGGGTTCTTCTAAGCAATCTTGCAAAACGGACTTTGGAGGAGATGGGGGCTAATCTACTCTTGCCTTACAGCTAAACATCTTGAACCTTTGAAGGGCGGCAAAATACCCGTTGAGATTCTGGTGCGAGGAAAGGATGAGGCTGCAAATACCCAGATCTTCAAGGACCTTGCCGATGTTATCAAGAAATCGGGTAAGAAAGTCGGAGTTCTTGCAAAGGACTCAGCGCAAGGACCTTTTGCGAACGACTGGAAAAAGGTTTATCCTTCTGAAGCTTCGGGAGTTGAGGAGGTAGACGTGTCCGCTGCCTTTTCAGCCTTTTTGGCTCTTAAGGATGATGCTGAGTTGGTATGTTCCCAACCACTACCTGAGTACTTGAGGATTGCGCTAATCACGATCTTTTTATTTCTTTAGAAAACTATGCGCGCTTCTTCCAGAGCTCTAGTTGGCATCATGAAAGGATATTTCATTGATGAGATGTCGACAATCATCGACGAAGAAAAAAAAATCTCACATGCTGCACTTAGCAAAAAGATCGAGGATAAAATCGATGATGAGAAGTTCTTCAAGGCGAAAGAGTTGAAGCTTGGCGCTGATGTGAGCATAAAATACAGTTGGTTTGTACATTTGATAAACTAACTCTGTCATAGTTTGATCCGATGCAACTCGACTGGACTGTAGGCCCTGTAGTTCAAAGCGGTGGCAAATATGATTTGAGGACGAGCGCTGCCGCCGACGATAACCAATTACACGGCGGTATAATCTTGTCGACCATGGGACTTCGATATAAGAGTTACTGCTCAACTATTGCAAGAACCTTTCTTATCGACCCAAACAAGGCGCAGGAAAAATACTACAGCTTTTTAGTTGATCTCCAATGGAAGGTCCTTTCAGAGATTCGTGATGGTGTGGTTTGCAAAGATATCTACAGCAAAGCGATCGGCTTCATCAAAGCGAAACATCCTGAGCTCGAGAAGCACTTTCTCAAGAATATCGGTGCCGGTATTGGTATAGAGGTTCGCGACTCAAACTTAGTCATCAGCCCCAAGAGCACTCGTGTTTTGAAGGATGGGATGACACTTTGTGTCACCCTAGGCTTTCACGACTTAGAGAACCCAAAGCCGCAGGATTCGAAGAGCAAAACCTACAGTTTACTATTATCCGATACGATTCGGGTAACGGCTGGTGACCCTATTGTATTTACTGGCGGATGTCCGAAGGATTTGAAAGAGACAGCATTTTACTTCAAGGAAGATGAGCCGGAGGAGAAGGTTAAGGCGAAAAAGCCTGCACCTAAGCCCGCCCCAGCAAAGAATACCGCAGTCTTGAAGTCAAAGCTTCGAGGGGAACGGAAGGAAATCGATGAAGGAGCGGAACAAAAGAGGAGAGAGCACCAAAAGAAACTCGCCCAGGTGAAGCAGGAAGAAGGGTTAGCACGATACGCCCAGGGAGGGGCAGTCGGAGATGGGAAGGGCAAAAAGCTTATCAAGCGTTTCGAATCATATAAGCGCGAGAACCAATTGCCCCTCGCTTGTGCGGACTTGAAAATTGTTGTGGATCCCAAAAGTCAGACCATTGTTGTTCCTATCTTTGGAAGGCCAGTGCCTTTCCATATTGCAACATTGAAGAATGTTAGCAAAAATGATGAAGGTGACTTTACGTACCTTCGGATCAACTTCCTCTCTCCCGGACAGGGTGTAGGAAGAAAGGACGAACTGGTTCGTGTTTACTCCCCTAGCAAGTGCTTACCACTACAGAATGCTTACTTTTAGTTAAAGCCCTTCGAAGATCCTGGCGCCCATTTTGTGCGTAGTTTGACGTACAGAAGTACAGATAATGACCGGATGGCGGAGATCTGGGCCAGTATTCAAGACATGAAGAAGAATGCCGTTAAGCGTGAACAGGAACGTAAAGAACTAGAAGATGTTGTGACCCAGGATAATCTGATCGAGATCAGAAACCGCCGTCCTCAGCGTCTTGCAGATGTTTATGTTCGCCCTGCCCTTGACGGAAAGCGTGTACCAGGTGAAGTTGAAATTCACCAGAATGGTCTCCGCTACCAGTCGCCAGTTCGCAGTGATCAGCGTATCGATATTCTATTCAGTAACGTCAAGCATCTTTTCTTCCAGCCCTGCACGAGTGAACTTATCGTGTTGATTCATGTCCATCTCAAGGACCCCATCATGGTTGGGAAGAAGAAAACCAAGGATGTGCAGTTTTACCGCGAAGCGACGGATATCCAGTTTGACGAGACTGGTAATAGGAAGCGTAAATACAGATACGGAGATGAGGAAGAGTTCGAGCAAGAACAAGAGGAACGTCGGAGAAGGGCCGCTTTGGACAAAGAGTTCAAGGCATTTGCGGACAAGATCTCAGAAGCAGGAAAGAAGCTCGAGAATGGTGTGGATGTTGATATCCCTTACCGCGAGCTTGGTTTCAGTGGTGTACCGTTCCGCGCAAACGTTCTCTGCGCGCCCACTACAGACGCTTTGGTTCAACTCACTGACCCTCCCTTCTTGGTCATCACTCTTGACGAGATTGAAGTTGCTCACTTAGAGAGAGTTCAGGTTTGTCAACTGTTGGAACGATTTAATTAGAGATTTCTAACGTAATGCCTAGTTTGGTCTGAAAAATTTCGACATGGTCTTTGTCTACAAGGACTATGCCCGACCAGTTTCTCATATCAACTCAATTCCTATGGAAACCCTTGAAAACGTCAAAGAATGGCTTGATTCTTCAAACATTCCCTTCACTGAAGGACCTTTGAACCTTAATTGGCCCACTATCATGAAGACTGTACTTGCAGATCCTCATCAGTTTTTCAAAGATGGTATGTCATCAATTTTATTCCTAAACTGAGAAAATTAGCTAATAGGTGGTTGTTTGTAGGTGGTTGGAATTTCTTGTCAGTTGAGTCCGATGGCGACGATGATGAGGAGGAGGACGAAGAATCTGAATTTGAAGCCTCTGATTTTGGCTCAGAGTCAGAAAGTGAAGGGGAAAGTGATTTTGATGATGATGACGCCAGCGCGGACGAGGGCTCCGAAGCCTCGGACGTCGAATCTGGGGGTGAGATTTCAGATAATTCAGATTAACTCGTGATAGCCCATGGAAACTAATATGTATGTACCCGTGTTACAGAGGATTGGGACGATCTAGAAGAAGATGCAAAAAGAAAAGATGAAGAGAGCGGTCTAGTCGATAAAGAGAAGACAAAGAAACGAAAGCGGTAAACGCTGCAGTTGTAACAACATCGATTAGTATTCTGGGTGCGCGATTTTTTAACACTCACGGCCATGATCGAGTATCATACGTTTTTTGCGGGAATAAGGGTTATGTTTTATTAATACCTTCTTCAAACGTTGTATGTCCGACATGGGGGTGTATGATACTACGAGATCTGCAGCTTTTTATGCTTCTTTCACGTTTTTCCTGTCTGATTTTACCTTTAGTTATCAGTGTAGTTTTAATTAGGCCCTCGGTGGTAAAAGGTTTTTGTTTTTGTGGAGCAGGTGTAAGGGCTCAAAAAAGAAACGTACGCAATATCATGTATGCATGGAACGTATGACATTGAAGATATTGGATCCATGGATTCAGGGGTGCCAAGGCTAGATATATATAAAGCGGGGTTAGGCCACTAGCCGTACCCCACATTTTCCTGGAGAAACAGGACATCCTTGGTTCCCGTACTTGTTCATCCAATCTCATCTTGTGGGACAGACCGTTGAGACATTCCGTCACCATCCATCACTTGCTCACCCAAAATGGTGCTAATCACTGAATCTCACGTCGATATCGAAACATCTGGGGGCACGAAGATGAGAGTCTTCTTGTTTCACCCAGTTATTTCTGGGTACCCTAATGCAAAATTCCCTGGTGTTGTTGTGTGGAGTGAGATCTACCAAGGTAAAGAAATCCACGCATTGCACATTATTGGTCGTGAAATGACCCAATTATTGCCCAATCTCTGATTTCAGTATAACAACAGTTACTGGACCGGTATCCAGGTTCGCGAGGCAAATTGCTGGGCAGGGGTACATCTGTGCTGCACCTAGTGTATACCACGATTTTGAGGGTCCTGCTGCATTGGCCTACGATGTCCCGGGAACCGATAAGGGAAACGAGTACAAGATCAAGAAGGTGACTATAACAACCAATTGTCAACGGTTTTGAAAACCGATCTAATGCAGATACTATTTAGACTGTCGCTTCGTACGACGAGGACGCAAAACTGACTGTGGACTACTTATTGGGACTAAAAACTTGCACAGGTATTTATTTGAGAGATCGGGGGTGTAGTAAACGAGTGGAGTTAATAGTCGGTCAATGAACAGGCAAGATCGGAACTACTGGGATGTGCCTCGGTGGTCATCTGGCATTCAGGTGTGCTCTTGACCCTAGAGTTTCCAGCGCTGTTTGTTACTTTGCTACAGGCGAGTTTCCTACAAGCTCCAAAATAAAGACAGCGTTTTCTAATTATCTTGACAAACAAAAGATATCCATAGTTCTACCCTTGGACTGAACAAAAAGGATGATTCTTTGGCACGGATCCCAGAAATAAAGGGAGAGTTGGCGATGGTAAGTTAATTCAAGTCTATGCTTACAATTACAGTGGTTTCTCGAGCACATTTATACTGACAGTTGGTTGGTTTGCTAGATCTTTGGGAAAATGGACAACCATGTCCCACCTGCGGGTCGTGACCTGATCAGGAAGACCCTTCATGAGGCAGGGACCAAGTTCAGCTTCTATGAGTTTACCTGGGCTCAACATGCGTATGTATCCTGTCATATCTGTAGTAAGGCCGAAATCTATTTTGGGATTCGATAAGGTTATACAGCACAGGATTCTCTTGCTCAGTAACAATATTGAATCCCCAAAAAGAATTCGGCGTTGCCCAAATTAGCATTATTAGTGCTCCATTCTAACTGGAAATACTTGGTAATTTAGCTTCATTCGGGACGAGGAGTCCAAAGGAAGATACGACCCTGCCCTCTCAAAGATCTGCTTTGAAGTCCTCCTCGAGCTCTTCACCAGGACTCTGAAGACAGACTTAGGTGTTCATGTCAATGATGATACCGAAATTGAAGATGTCTGTTAATGCTTCTTTGAATGCATATGGGTATCAAGCAACTTTATTGTATCTAAGCTTAGCAGTCCCCAGTACACGAGAAAATAAATTACACATTTAGCATGTCATGCCCGTAGTAGCGGGAGTACTTGCATCGGCCAAACCTTTGAAAACCGCAATGAATTCTCTAGGGTCTTGTGCCCCGCCAATTTCATACCTCCCGTTTATGGTGAAGTTGGGAACACCTGAAATGCCATGGCGTTGAGCCACATGGACTTCCTTGTCAACGATGTCACCACCCGCATCAGACCCTAGCCATCCCTTGACTTCATCCTCCTCCAAACCAGCCTTCTTGGCAGCATCTAACAGAGTTTCGAAGGAGGTGATATCCTTCTCGTTTTCAAAATAGGCAGCAAAAAGCTCCTCTACCATCCTCGTTTGCAGGCCCTTCTCCTTCGCCATTTGGATGAGTCTATGAGAATCACGCGTATTTCCGGTCTTTCCTCCGAACTTGAAGTGGATTCCTTCAGCCTCGCCGATGGCCGAAAGACGCTGGAACATCGGGACTACTCGCTCTGCACCGAATTTGGAGTAATAGAACTCGGTCTTGTCAATGCCAACTTTGGGAGAGTCGGGGTTGAGATAGTATGGTTTCCAGGTGATATCGAATGTGTGGCCCGGATTGGAGGCAGAGAACTCGGTGATGGCCCTGTTGAGCTTCCTGTAGCCAACATAACACCAAGGACACACAGTATCTTGATTGAGATTTAGAGTCAGTTAAAAGTTATATATGCTAGCTTAAAGCTTTAAAGGACCACTTACCAGAAACGATGTCTATGGAGAATCGAGTCATATTGATTGCAGATTTTTTTAAAGCCACGGTGAATATTCTGACAAATTTGACGCTTGCGATATCGATAGGATGTTTGTGATAAAGTTGGAGGACTTCGCTCAGAGGCCGATGTTTTTAATGGCTAATCGCTTACAAATCCAAAACGCAGCTTACGGCATCGTAACGCCTAACCTTTTTTGATGGAGTAATTGTTAGCTATGGTGGGTGACAGCTGGAAAGGTACCTTCGTTTCAACACCCAAAATTTGGGCTGCTAGATAGTTTTAGGTATAGTGGGAACTAAGCTGGGCGATAATATTACTATAGTAGGATTAAAGGTTTTGCTATCGCTACTTTGAGTAGGTACTGCGATCACCTCTCCAAGTCTAGCCGTTAAGCGTTGCAAGGTTGCCCTTCCAGCTGTCACCCGCCATAGATATTTACTACCGCATTGACTACAGTACGTAGAGTAGTGAAATCGGACAAACTGCTAGCTGCATTTATATTTTTAACGAGAAATAAGTAAGTATTCTGCAAAAATCGAGAGCATAACCCCAGATTTTTTCTCGTTAATCCCGTTTCTAACGGTTTGTGGTAGATAATTCAGCTAGCGAGAACCATAAATTATCACTCGATCAACGACCACCAAAGAAAAGCTCTACAACCGAGCTTGGTTATTGACTTATCCATTGATACGTACCGATAAATTCTGGTATCAAAACCTTACTTTTGGTATTGACACGTTTCCATTCAGATTATGTATATAGATTTCACAAAGCTGTCTCTAGATGTGTCCACTTTGCTCATAATTGCAGTGATTGTGTCGTAGAGCTGGGATTATGCATACATACATCTATCAAATCAGGTTTCATTCTTTAGGTGATAAGTCGTTGCGACGCCACGTGTACTTGCGAGAACTAATACTACATGTATATCCTGGGTCTGTGTGGACTAATGTTATAAACCCCACGAGCTCATTATTCAGCGAGCTTGAGCCTTTCTTTTCCCCCAAGGGTCGAGCTTAGGCTCGAGCTCAAAATATATACTTTAGCTGAACCCGGGGGGCTATGGGGGTTGTGGGGAGGAGAAATGGGGGCTACCAAAGACCCTTTGTCCTTTGAACGCCATTTCAACTATTTATTTTATCGGTTTAGCTAGCTGCTTTCCCAATGACAATGCCCACTTAGTAGAAGGAAACCTGTTTTCCAGATTATTGACAACCGGCTCGAGTTCTACAAGCCTTATTTCTCCAAGAGCTGAGCCGGCTCGAGCTTATGGACCAACTCAGCTCGAGCCGGCCGAGCTGAGTCGGCCCATGCACCACACTGTCTGTCCGTAATAAGAAAACAGGACTTCCTCGGCGGTGCGGTGACTCACAGTAATTTCATCCTCTGTCACAGGCGCGCGCGCGCGGAATACATGCTCGAGTAACTTGGGAGTCTTGGCTTCTTATACATACGTCGCGTCTAGTATACTACCATATAAGGTCATATAGTGTAGATTTTAATAATAGTAGAGTTAGATATGTACGTGGCGTTTTAATACCTACACGCCACGGGGATCGTCATCTTCACGCAACGTCGACTCTTCTTGCTCTTACATATACATACATGTGTGTGAGATATCATGATCCGTTCTCCCAATACCTTCGTTATAAAGACTGCTTGTAACACTCGATAAGGCTCTCTCCTATTGCATATACTTAATTCCGGATCCAAGAATATCACCTCTTATCGTTCGACCGTAAATGAGTCAAAATCCCGCAGGCCAATCATTCCCACGCGGACAATGGGGCCATGAAAGATACATAGTGAGAGTTTCATTCATTCATCCGTTGCTTTTTAAAGCCTTCTCTTGTCCAAAGTCTAAACTGTATCATTCAAGTCATGCCCAGGTTATGCAGGGTGCGAAACCAACCCTATCCTTTTTGCTGGCTTCAGAGAATACGTGAGATATAAGAAGATCAAATCCCGCATCTACCTCCCCGACCCCGAACAAGAGAAGGAAGAAGAGGAGGAAGAAGAGAAGGAAGAAGTATCTACCGAACCACAGAAAAAAGCACGGCCAATCAAGCGACGGTGGGGTGGGTATACTTCCTCGTGCACCCGGTATATCTTTCCCGTCGCTGTTGAGAAGAAAGCAAATGCAGAATGGATTCAACCACACCAACACGCTGTCATGTTCTGGAAGGACATCTCCGGCGAACCAATGTTCTGGGCTGTTACATGCAAGAGCCACGAACCTCGAGACATAAAGGATGCCATGTACCAGTACCGATATCCCTTAAGCCCAGGTGTGCTGGAGGAAAAGAGGAAAGCCTCAGATCGATTAAAGGAAAAGATATCTATTCTAGATGATTATTGCTTGGAAGATCTAGATGACTGTAGTGTACGCACGAAGGTTAACGTGAAGAAGTTGAAAGCATACGCGAACTATATGGAGGGGCGTGTCATTGAGATTACTCCAGAAGAAGCTGAAAGATATCTTTCTAAGCAGGGACAAGCGTTACCGAAGATGGTTGAAAAGGTCAGTGAGGTGGGCCAAAACCCTCAAGTGGTTGGAGATATGCATCTCCAGAACTATGGGCTGGATGTGTCTAGGCTAGATCAACAGAGGCTATGTGAACATGGACTAGATGATCACGAGCCGATGGTAAAAACGAACCAGAAGAATATTGGGACAGACCCGTCGGATAGAGACAGTATGATGGATACGGATACAGGCCCCGAGCACAGCCGCCTTGAACCCGAATGCACTAACCCTGGAGGTAGCGAGAATACGTCTCATAATAGTATCTCCTTGGAAACAGACCTGTCTGATACAATGGGAATTCCGGGCGGTGTAGGAGAACAACACAAACAAGCACTGGCGGAGAAGCAGAAGAAGACCCCGAATTCGACGGATGTGAAGGAATGCCTTGTTGGCAACCAAGCATTAGAAGTAATGGAGGAGATAATCAGGGATATGTTCTGGTTAGGGGATAGTGCAGAGAGTCTCGAAGCGGTAGCTCTATTTGATATAGAGGGGGTAGAACACCAACTTATGAGGCCTAAAAGCCAAAGGCACAGTACTATCGGCGCTGATTTATAAATCACTAAAAGTACTGTTTTATTACTTCTTGTACTATTGAATGCTATGAGGCAGGCAGGTTGATCCACTGGGGTGTGGGTAATATGAGGACAGATAGCCGATGAGCCAAAGGACCGGTCGCAGCGAACACCGTGTCTTAGTAGTTAGTGTGTCTTCGCCTGCTTCTTTTGTGTCTTCCTTTCCTTTCCCTTTACTTTATCATCATGCGCTCTGATTACATCTTAACCAAGTCAAGGTTTCTGTTAAAAATGATCATTGACCTGATATTGGAGATATCAGCCACTGATCTTACGCTGCGCCACAATTACCATATCATCAAGGGAGAAAAAAAACACGTAGGAAGGTTGGAGGCGCGCAATATCATTTTTATCACACCACCAGAAGTGATGTAGACCTTGGCAGACCTCAAATATATCCGATACGTACATATTAGGAAGACATACAAAGTTCGGCTCTAAACAAAATTTCCAACATTATACAACGTAAAGCGAGCACCCCGTCCTCTTAGTTTGCCAAACATGCTACAATAAACCAGAATGCTTTCCCATCTTATAATTGGATGATTATAGCCCTACTTATCACTAAGCTATGAGGTTAATTGAGGCAAGGGGCAATATGCGAAATGGTGAGAGAGAAAGGCGTGCTCAGCCGAACACCACTAGTTCTTCTGATTGCATATGGGATGATCAATAGAGAAGCATTTCTATTGGTTAGAATAGTCTATATACTATAGTCGATAGAAGCATATATGAATAGACAAAGAACTACTCCCGTGATGGGATCCGGGAGGGGAAGGGAATTGACATCGAAAGAAACACTGACAGAATTTCATATTGAGTCTTGGGTATGTATATATCAACCTTGAACTCCCAGATATATCTCCGGGAGAGTAAAACTATCCTTTCATGAAATCCAATTAATATCACACGCGCCCTGAGCTCGAGGACCCAAACCACTTGCCTTTGACAGTCCGAAAGATTGGACAGCCATAATGTACACACCCGCAATCATCAGAAGTTCCCACCCGATGAGACGGGTTCACAAAGAACCTCCTCGTCTTAAACGGAACACTGCCAATGTTGGCACTCTTAAAGGCTCCTAAATGTTATAGCTAAGCTATCGGTGGATACATTGTTGTAACGGAAACAACTTTTGTAAGTTAGTCCCCTGAAGAATAGTACTGGCTCTAGCACGCAGCCGGCAGCATCTAATCATTTTACAGATCAAGAACACCTGTCAAAGACCTAGTACAAGAGGTTTCAACTATTCTTACACGCCATTAATTACACAAGTTTACATGTTAGTAATAACTATGTAGATATAAAAGGTTCTCTGCGCTCTAGAAGAAATGTCAAAAAAAGAAAAAAGAACCTTCGTCACAATATATCACTCGGTGCTAAGTTCACGTGACTCAGAAATCCCTCATGATCATGACAATCCTATCCAGTCTCATCAACTGCGCCAATAACTTTTCCTCCCTTGTACTCCAGATTTCCAACTCCCTTTTCTCTCCTGTTGTCAAATACTCTTCTTGGTTCGCCTGTACATCCGTACGCTCCCATTTCTCTAATAAACTTTTGCGTTTATCACGCTCGGTGTTGGTACGCTGGATACACCTAGCCATAGCCTTATACACATCCCCAATGAGAGCATTCTTGGCTCTCTCGAAATCATAAAACCACAAGAAAAACATCCTGGAAACCTGTGGCGTTGCTGTTTTGGGTACTTCCTGGAGTTCCAGATGACCGGCTTCATGGAGGCCAGAGAGAGTCGCACGGATTTCTTTTTGTTTTAGGAGGGCTATGTTTGCGATCTAATATATGGGTTGTGAGTAGGTGAAAGGCGAGAAAAGGATAAATGGTGGAACAAACCTGCTTCTCATCAAGCTTGCCTTTATCTTTGACGATCCTCAGCAGCCGGGTTCCCATACTACCGAATCTTTCTTCTACCACTTTTTCAACCTCGAGTTGCTTTATTAATTTTCCAAGTTCCTTGTAATTGATGCTCCATTCACCCATACCCCGGGTGCTTTCGTGTTTTAAAAACTTAAAGGAATCTTCGGCAAGGAGTTGGAGGTGCTGCTTTATGATTGCCATTCGCTTCTTCTTTTTTGAGGCCTCTGGATCTGCATCGTCAATTTCCTCATGGTCGGCCCATTCGTCTTCTTCCTCATCTTCGTCATCATCTTCGGCGTTGCCATTGAGATGTTTGGGTGACTCATCATCCGAATCTTCCAAAGAACGTTTACGACCTTTCGAGACCTCCTTTGGTGGTGCAGCTATCGAGTTATCGAGCTCGATAGAAAAATCGAAGGTTTTTGACAACTCAAGTACAGACAATTTAATTCCTACAAAAATCAGCATAATTCAATGTACCTGATTCGGCAGACCCACTCTTCTTAGGATTATCCTCCTCTTCATCATCGTCTCCAATAACATGGCACCGTAGATATTTCGGTTCTAACTTCTCCAAAAACTGTCCATACACCAAAGAAGTCGTCTTCCCTAGTCTCTTTTCCGCCAGTGAGACTAATTCCTGGTTTCTAAATAAAACCAGGAACTTCTCATGGTTGACCCTCAGAACCACCTCTTCATCAACCTCCCACTCCTCCTCTTCGACTTCCTGGTCGTACATACTAACCTTTGCCCTTTTCTTTGCCTTCCCCTTGGCCGATGATGCAAGCTTTCGCTTCATTCCAGCGTGTGCATTAGTATCCCCGTCTGCAAACTCCGCCATTTTGATCGCGATCTGCCGGTCGACCTCCTTTACAAGACGGGTCTCCACGGTGAAGTTCTTACGCAACTGGGCTGTGAGCGATTTGCGCATTGCGTTGATTGTGTCTGTTGGTGGGTTCATGTGGTGCTCTTGCACTTGAATCAGGAAACGTGACGCGACCATTTCGGTGATAACGGATTTCAGCGTTTCGACCGATGTGATGGTGTCTTCAGCGTCTTGACCGGCCTTTTTAGTGGAGGTTCCATAGGCGCTGAGGAAGTCAGAGACCCGGGCATGCCCGAGTTGCAACATGTTGCTGATGATCAAGGCTCCCTGATTAGTTAGATAGGTGTTTGGTCAAAGGGCACGCGTAATAAGAATAAGGGCAGGTCGCATACATCATTCCCATATCTACTCTCCATAGCACGGATGATCCTACCAGCATGAAGCAGCTCATAGATCTGCATCCAATTTGTCTCATAGTACACTACATCCCTATGGTTTTCGGAATGTGTGTAGTGGGTAACTATGTGCTGTTGTATAAGCACTACAAGAGTCTGCTTGACGATCTTGGGACCGAGCTTTATGTGGGAGCATATTTGCGGTATTGGCAGGCGGCCGAGCTGTAGTAGGATTGAGACGACTTTCTGGGGTGTATGTTGGTTTTAATTTCTGGTGGATAGGAGAGGGGAATTACATACGGAGGAGACTTCGCCGTAAATGTCGTTTACAAGAAGGGCACAAAGTTCGGCAGCATGCTGCTGGAAGTTATGGTGTTAGTGTATGCTCCAGATGAGTTGTAGGTGCGTACGCTTACTTGCGACATTTCATAGACTTGAGTTTGGGGTTTTAGCTGTAGTTAGGATCTGGGTTGGGAGGTGGAGGGGTGCTATGGCGTCGGTGTACTGCTGTGAGTCATTCGTAAGAGGTCGAGAGGCGTGGTGAATTATACAGCGCGATGCTGTATGTAGTATACGTATGGCTCTGATTGCTGCGCAGGCCTATGTGCAGCTGTGAGTTAATGCTGTATGCTTTGAGTTCAATGTTGCTCACGAGCAGAACTATCCGTATTATCTCTGATAGTATTGTAATATATATGGGGATATGAACACCCGTATAGCCTCGTAATACGTACAGCACTGTGCGCGTGGAAAATCTCCGATTGCGAGTAATGTAGTGTAGTGGGAGCCGCTGTGTCTGTCTATCTCGAGCAGGACGGTGGTCAGGTATTATCTGTTTTGCCTGTTACTTTTGGGGCGAGTGTAATCTCGGCCGTGTAGCTGCGGCGCGAGTGCGGTCCTTGGGCGTGCCACACAGTATCTTGCGGTTGCGTAAAGGACGTGCGCTCAATCGCAGGAAGTGGGATTATTCCGATTATTGCGCAGTCATGGTGGGGACTTTTTTGTTCGGCGAATCTCTCTGCACGTGACCTAGGATCTAAGTCATGTGATTGAAGAGCCCCACCAGGAGGTATCGTTTCTACGCTGTTTTACAGGGCACCCCTCCATACCGTGCGTACAATCAGTCCCCACTCTCGGGAAAATGATAATGGCCCGCATCTAATTCGTCGACCGACTCCCGACTCCCCAACTCGAGTCTCATTTTGTCTGCCATCCACCATCCACCGGCTACTCAACTCCTCTCCCCTCCACACATCTCCCATATCACTCGCTATGTTCGCCCGGACTACAATCTCTCGGGGCACCCCCCAATGGCTCTCAGCAGTCTCTAACCAGCGCCGTGGAATGGCTGCCGCCGTCGCAAACCCGTTCCACTACTCGGTCGCCGATGCCACCGGGATTAAGGTTACCAGCAGGGACGACGGCGGCCCTACTACAAGCCTTGCTATTGTTGTTCGCGGTGGAAGCAGGTACGAGAGTGCCCCGGGCGTTGCTCACACTTTGGAAAAGTTTGCTTTCAAGGTATGGATGGACCCGAGAATGCCCGGCGGGGTATTTGTGGCATAGGTTGATGATGGATACAACACGGGTGGACGGATGCATGGGTCGATGGGCACACCGCTGACGGATTGTCTCAACAGAACACCACAAGACGTTCCGCGTTGCGTCTCCAGCGTGAATCCGAGCTTCTCGGCGGTACTCTGTCTTCCTCTCTGTCCAGGGAGAACATTGTCCTCCGAGCAAAGTTCTTGAGAGATGACCTCCCATACTTTGTTGAGGCCCTCGGGGAGGTCATTACAAAGACCAAATACACTCGTATGTCACTCACGCCCTCCGGAACATGATTTTCCCAAGGAGACCCAATCTCTTGCTTTCCAGAGCATGTTTTTCTGAGGGAATGACATATTTGAATAAGCATATCGATCTAACACGCCCCCACAGCCCACGAATTCGACGAAGAAGTGTCCGAGACGATCTCATACGAGCTCCACAGCCACACCCACACCGCTTCAAGCATTGCGCTTGAGACTGCTCACAACGTCGCTTTCCACAATGGTCTTGGATCGCCCACCGTTGCCCTGACCAAGAGCTACCTCAAGGATAAAACAGTCTCATCATACGCCGCCTCTGTGTACGCTCGCAGCAACATCGCCGTTGTCGCTTCTGGAGCGCCCCAAGCTGCCCTTGAGAAGTGGACTAAGGAGTTCCTCGCTGATGTCCCCGCCGGCAACGGTCCTTCCACCACCCCCGCTAAGTACTACGGAGGTGAGAACCGTGTCTACACCCCTGCAGGAAACGCCCTTACCATCGCCTTCCCTGGCAGTGCTGGCGCCCCCAAGTTCCAGCCGGAGTACACTGTCCTTGCCTACCTCTTGGGTGGACAGTCCACCATCAAGTGGAGCACCGGATCTTCACTGCTTTCTCAGACTACTGCTGGAATTCAAGGTGTATCTGCTGTGGCCAAGCACACCGCCTACACTGACGCCGGTCTCCTCCACATCACAATCTCTGGACCCGCATCAGCGTTGAAGTCGGCTGGAACTGCGGCGGTTAAGGCGATCAACGAGTTGGCTAATGTCAAGGCGGAGGATGTCAAGAAGGCTATTGCCCAGGCGAAGTACGACGTTCTTGCGGCCATTGAGGACAGGTCTATCGGTTTGGAGCTTGTTGGACAGTCTGTTATTGCTAGCGGAAGTGCGCCACAGGTGGCGGACACCGTTAAGGGTTTGGAAGGTGTCACATTGGATGCTGTGAAGAAGGTATGTTTTTAGGTTTTTGGCCATTTTTTTGTGGGTTGCGCTAATATATCATGTGATAGGCTGTCAAGAGCATTCTTAGCGGAAAGGCTACATACGCTGCCGTCGGAGACGTGCATATGTTGCCATATGCGGAGGAGCTTGGATTGAAGGTTTAGAGGAACCTTTGTGCGAGGGGTGGTGTTTTATCTGATGAAAACAATAAAGATAGATGGTGACTTAGCTGTGTCATAGGATAGGTGTATTTCAAAATGTGTAAAGTTTTTCTCTTCTTCTCGTTTCTGTTTTTCTTTATCCGTTCCTGGTGGGTGTTCTGAAATCGTGATTCTGCTTGCTTGCCTGCCTGCCATTTTATGCTGTGTTTTGCGTACCCGTAACCACACCAAGAACAAAAAAAGGACGATCCAGTGTATTTTTATACCAGAAACCTTGGAAGATTTGGAAAGGATATCTTCGGCTCGTCCCAATACTTTAATCGTGTGAAATTCTCAACAGATCAAATTCATTGGATTGTCAATAATATCATTGTGGCAATACGCATGTAGTTTAGGTAAACCCCCATCTTCGCAATTGGCTGCCTGTTCACTTGAAATTTACTGGACCTGCATACACTATGGCTACCTGTACCTACTTAGGCACGATGTTAACGCACGATTGTATGTACAGTCGTGTTAAGAAAGTCCTGGCAGTCAGCACCACACGAAATATTAAAATCCTTCCCACTCAACAACCATCAATTGGATTTGATTAAAATAAAATAATTAAGCCTTGTAGATGTCCAGAGTACAAGTATTCCTACCCACAGAATTATTGCTGGATTTCTGCTTTTGTGATACAGTGACTAGTGAATATTGCGATTTGAATACTTCCAGGAGAATAGCTACACATGCACTAGCCAGAGAATTTCTGCAATTAAATCAAGGGTATCCAGGGTCATAGACTCGAGATAGACATTTAGACTTTGGAGAATGCTCTTGTTGTTGTTGAGACTTTGTGGGTAGAGCATGTGGGTCCAAATCACCATTTCCAGCCGAAACTTTTCATGGAAGCTACACATTTAGTATTCATTCCAAATTCTCAAGATTTTAGAATATAATGAATAGTATCCTAATTTTCCTGTACCCTTAATTTCAAGTCCTCTGGAATTATGGTTGTTGAGAGGGACTGTGTTATATGTGCCGCTATCGCGTTGTCATCTACTGACAAGACTTATTTAACACGGCTGTATACTAATCCGTTGTAGTGATGCAGCGTAGAGAGTTCCGAATTGAACCTAGCTGAGGACTCTAAATTTCGAATACGGTAGTTGTAATGCCGCGGTCGTTGCGGCAGCAACATTCCTGGCCTCGTGGTTTTGTCCTTACGTACACCGGCTGAGATGAAGGCTTGTAATCACGATTAATGCGTTATTGCCGAGCGCAGGGCTTATTGGTGAGTTTTGAGTGATTATAAGTCTTGAACGTTCCTGTTGGCCATACAATAGCATGGTTACATGTACAAGTAAGTACTGGTATCAATCATAGTTGCTACATAAAACTTTGAGGCACGGCACCAATCAGATGTCATGCATGAAAAGATGAACTTCCACCACTGAGTTACTTATGTACCTACTTGCTTGAAGAATATCCAAACTTCAAAAGCCTCAGTTTTGTTCCTCGGTGTCGGCCTTTTGGTCTCTGATTCAAATCGTATTGATAGCTGGAGCTCTTTATCACCACAGCTCACTCGGACACAATCAGATGATTGCAGACACTTTTGAGCCTCAGTGAAATCGGTATCGGGCCGAGACGACCGGTGCACTTCCAAAGTTGTGAACCCGGCCGGCGACAACAGCCAATACCGGCACCTAACGAACCAGTAGCAACAAGGAAACAATAGGCATCGCAGCGATAGACATCGATCGGAAAGGACTCTCCGAACCAGATCCTCCACGAGCTGAGAAAGGCAAGCAGGCAGTCACGATGGCATTCTCGTATTTCCTGCAGATGCATTAAAGTAAAACAGAATACAACCTACTCTAGAGCACTTGTATGCACTCTTGTTGCCATATTTAGACCAAGCACAGTCAACTGTAAGGGGAAGCTGGAAGGAATACCTTAAACGCCCACACAGCTATTACTGCGGTCGGAAACGTCGAGTGCTGCGAAGATAGATTATATAAGGGGTGGCAGGGTAAGTTCTTTTTTATCTATCTTTTCCCTAAGTCGATTCGACCCAAGATTGACCCTTTACAGCTCATTTTGCTACGCTTAACTTCCAGACAAAATTCACAAGTGGGGGAATAATAGAGCCGTACCTAGCTGCAGAGGCAAGCACCGCCATGCAGAAAAGAGCCATCTAGATATTCTAGCTGGGGCTTTATACAACAAAACAAATAATTGCAATGTATGTATGCATAGCTTTCTCTGCTATTACTTTACCTATATTGAAAATTATGGGAGATCGATCCCCATTAATTCAAGCTCTTCTTATTACTGCTGTGTGTCGTACCTGTACTGTACAATTATGATAATGCTCTTATTGGCCTTGTTGTCCCATCTACTGTTGACTGCTTCGCCTTCTCTTCTTCCTTACCTTTCGCTGATCAAGTCTGAAGCTTCATCTCGAAATAACTAACCTACCCCCCTCCAGTACCCCTTTCTCGTACACCCCTTTCTTTCGCCCCATAT